CTTCACTGAGTTACGCAAGCCCCTTCGCCACGACAAGGCAGTGATCCATGAAGGGGTCAGAGAGGGTATACTTTCTTTTTCACACAACTGTATATTAACAAGAATGGTTCTGAGAAAAAAACATTTAGTTACAAATCCTTGGTGGAAATTCATTAAATATTAATCTAATTTTGTCATTCTTTTTTAGATGTCTCACTTAAAGTAATTTTCTACTTATTTATTTACTTGGGCTTATAGGCTGCTTGACTTGCACACAACTCTAAGCAACATAAACTCCAATATTGTAAGAGAAAGATTAAAAACAATAAAAAATATGCCTACAAACAATAAACAAACAATGAGAGCCAGTGTGGTGTAGTAGTTAAAGTATTAGACTAGGAGCAGGAAAACTCAGGTGCTAGTCCACCCTCAGGCCACAGATGCTCTCAGCTCAATTCTATCTCATAGAGTTGGAATTGTGGGGACAAAAAATTTCAATACTAAAAAAATGTACAGGCCTCATGGTAGGAAGTAGATTATGTAAAAAAATAATTTAATGTTAAATACTTTGAGTTACTCCAAAATGATTAGATATAGTTGGATTTGATTAACACAAGTACATTGCAAACCTGCTAGGTGTACATAGAATAGTTTAAAAAATGAATAAGAGTTAAATGATAATAGAACGCATTGGGAATGAAAGTTATTGGGTATTTCTAGTAGATATTATCTTTACAGGATTATTTGTTTGCCTGTTCATTCTTAGTTCTGATCTTCTTCTAAATTACTCACTCACCTTCTCTCCCTTCCCTCCCTCTCATGCTTGCACTTCTCGGATAAGTAGGTGAGAAATGTGTCCATGTAGTCTCATTCAGGAATTGATCTGACAATAATGCCAAGACTAGTCATTTATGAGTTGCCTTTTGATAGTTAACTCTATGTCAGCTTCTGAAGATTATTTTATTTACCTTGGTGGTCTTGACAAAACGCCTGCATTAGTTCAAAGAACTGTTACTCATTTGGGACAGGCATTGTTTCTTTTGATGTTAGAATGACTGGGCCAAGACTATGTTTTCAATAAAGCAACAGAAAGGACTTCAAAGATCTAATAGGACTTTAAATTTACTTTACTTGCTGAGAATACTTAAAAACCCTTACATATCCATGAGTTTTGGAACATGCATAATAAATCTTTCCTAGACAATATTCATTTTTTGTATAGCATAGAGCCAATATTATGCCACATTTTATTTATTCTATTGTGAAATGAACATTTAATTGGTATAAGTTATGAATATGTCTTGGATAGTTATATAAGTGGCCAAATTGCCATGATTTCCAATCCCTCCTTTTTCCCCAGTGATTTCAAGTTAATGAATCTTCCCTGTAAAAGTTGTTAGTGATTCAACATGCTATTGCTTATTTACAAATATATAGTTTATGGTAGTATAATTAAGACAGACATCTACTGAAAAGTTGTAATCACAAAAGAGATGATGATGATGATGATGATGATGATGATGATGATGATGATTTTGTTTATTTATTTTGGCTTTGCTAGTTATGAGAAAATTGTGTAAAAACACTAAAATTTCACTTTTGGCCATTCTGTTTCTTCATGTCTACTTCCCAAAAGTTGGTTTAATAATAAAAAAGAGAGAATTATTAAAGGCCATATCTTCAGGAAAAAAAAAATCAGTTTTGCAGTTCCTAAATAACACATATTTATAGTAAGCTTAGGAGAAAGATGCTATATTCTAAATTTTAAAAGTTAGGTTTGGAGTACAAGATTCTAATTATATTTGTCATGCAACTTAGATATCTTGGTTTTCAGAATTTATTCTGGCAGAGTTAAATTGAAAAATAATTAAAATTTTAGAACTCTTATTAATAAATATAATACAAAAGAGTTGTAGATCTCAGTATAGTGTTCAACTTTTTCAACACTGAAACAGTCTCCTAAACCTATTGGCATTCCCCTTCTCTATTCACAGCGGGGCAGGGAGAGTAGAAATGCTTGAAGCTGCATACGTATGCCAAAAACTAGCCTTGCCTAACCTGGGAAAATTCTGTTTTGAAAGGTGAGATATAAATATGTCAATATGTCATTTCCAAACAAAATTTTCCCAGGGTACCAGGATTTTATGCTATCTTAAATTTGTGATATTAGAAACACTAGGGTGGTATTCTCCATAGTTTTTGATAAACAGCCTATTAATTATTATCTGTTTATTTATTTGTTCAATTTATATGGCCATCCACTCACTAAGCAGCTAACAAGGATTAAGAACTTAACAATAAGAGGAAGAAAAGAGTACAATAATAAAACACACCTATGTGCCTATAGAACCAGGATGGTATTAGCATTAAATGTAACTGTACTAATAATCTATTTATTTATCTTTTCTTCTGTTCTCTTATAGGCAACAAATACAGCCTCTTCTAGGATTGTTTAGTCAAGCAGAAGCCTTATTAACATCTTCTGGAGTACAGCCAGCGAGTTTAAATGGTGTTCTTTTGGATGCCGGTTGCTCTTCTTTGCAGTTTGATACTCCAGAAAGAGGTTTTTCCTTAAAAAAGGATGGCCCATTGGACATGAGGATGGATGGTGGCAGGTATATATTGATAAACCTGTTTTTTTTTAATTCTAGTAATCAATTTCTCAACATCAGGCTGAATTTAATTTCCCTTTCAGGGTACAGAGTTGTGCTTGTACCCTGATATATCTCTCTGCATATATATAATATATCAGTTTTTATTTTGTTTGGCAAAATAGTATTCTATGTTCTATTTTCAGGATTTGGTGCCATTTTTTTTCTCTTCCATTTCCTCCTACTATCCATTCCCCGGCAGTTAGATTGTTACAAATGTTCATAAGGATATTGGTCCTAAATCTGTCTTTTAAAATTGAAGCAATATAAGTCCTGACCAAGCAAAATTGAATGATTGTAATAGGTACAAGGGAATTAAACCAGGGGAGGCCATTCGTATGCACACACCTTGCTAATCTTCAAATTAGACCAATGATGATTTTGTTCCAGGCTGTTTTATAGGAATTACACTGAACCCGTTTTAGGTTTGTTCATCAGAATTCCTTTAAAAGCATTATCTGTTTTAAAATTGCCCATTTGAATAGCTGCTGTTACCAGTGTCTATGTGACAAATCTTTTAATTTATCTGGATTTATGTAGCTCATTGGAAGACTACATTTATGTAGTCTTATATGTGTGTGGGTATATATATGACATTTGAATAGAAGCTGCGAAGTATATGCAACAATAAATAGATATGTATTGTTAAAAGTAGCCCTAGAGTCAATGGCTCAGTGAAAATCATCATCATCACCACCATTATCATCATCATGGCTGCAGTTATAATTGAATTCCTTCAATGCAAAATCAACAAACAAGAAAAAAAAAGCCAAACAGCACCCCACCTAAATGGCAGATCAGGTTGGTAAATAAGATCATCATGCTAAGATCAGACACAAGCAAGCTAGAACAAATGAAAAAAAAGAAGCTGAAGACCAAGAAGACCAAAGAATACCTGATCAAGAAATATCACCAAGAACAAGGAAGATCAAGGAAGCACTGGAAATAATAAAGCAACAAATAACAGCTATAGGCAAGAAGATCAGCAGATATGAAGTTCAAATTGCACGCTACTGGCAGAATCTTCAATTTCAGTTGAATCAGAAACATTTTTACCAATCCATCAATGGGGAGACTGCAGTGAACTAGTCAACACCTGACAAAGAAGAAACAGTGCAGTTCTGGGTACAGCTATGGAACAACCCAAAAAATATAACAAGAATGCAGCTTGAATAAAGGAGGTAGATAAGAATGAAAAAGAAACTGAAATGAAGTAACTTGTAATAACAGCAGAAATGGTAGAGAAAAGGGCAGGGAAGGTCAAGAATTGGTCAGCACCAGATGAAGATGAACTGCATGGTTTTTGGTTGAAACATCTGACTGGTCTGCACCCACTAATTGCCAAGAAGTTTAACAATGTACTGTAAGGAGGTGAAATTGAAGATTGGTTAACATCTGGCAAAACCTACCTGATAATGAAAGATAAGGTCAAGAATTGGTCAGCACCAGATGAAGATGAACTGCATGGTTTTTGGTTGAAACATCTGACTGGTCTGCACCCACTAATTGCCAAGAAGTTTAACAATGTACTGTAAGGAGGTGAAATTGAAGATTGGTTAACATCTGGCAAAACCTACCTGATAATGAAAGATACAATGTACTGTAAGGAGGTGAAATTGAAGATTGGTTAACATCTGGCAAAACCTACCTGATAATGAAAGATACAATGTACTGTAAGGAGGTGAAATTGAAGATTGGTTAACATCTGGCAAAACCTACCTGATAATGAAAGATCCAACAAAAGGGGCAGCACTAGGCAACTACAGGCCAATTACCTGTTTACCAACAACTTTCAAATTGTTAACTGGTGTGGTAGCTGATGCAGTCCAAGAGCATCTAGTTAAAAACAAGCTCTTTCCACCTGAGCAGAAAGGAAACTGCCCAAACAGCAGAGGGACAAAAGATCAGCTCCTAACTGACCAGATGATTTTGGAAAACTGTAAGAGAAGGAAGACCAATTGAATATAGTTTGGATTGATTACAAGAAGGCATTCAACTCCCTGCCACATGACTGGAATAATCAAGTGCCTAGAAATAACAGGAGTCAGTAGAAGCATCAGAAGCTTTGTGCAAAGATCAATGGCACAGTGGAAGACACAGTTGTTGGTCAATGATGATAGACTGGGAGAGGTTAACATCAAGAGAGGAATATTTCAAGGAGATCCACTATCACCACTACTGTTTGTCATTGCATTGATTCCTCTATCAACAATACTGAACAAGTCAGGCCATGGCTATTAAACATCAAAAACATCTGCCAGGCTATCCCACCTCCTCTACATGGATATTCTGAAGCTGTATGGAAAAACACCATCTGAAATAGAATCGCTGCTCAACATGGTCGGAATATACAGCCAAGATATTGCAATGGAGTTTGGACTGGACAAATGTGCCACCCTTACCATCAACAAGGGAAAAAATGTGAAAACTGAAGGAATCAAGATGCCCTATGGAAATAACATCAAGAGTCTGGATGGAGAAGATCACTACAAATATCTTGGGCATCCTTTAAGCTGACAACATCAAGCACATTAAAGTCAAGAAGAAGGTTAGCAGTGAATACATCATGAGAGTGAAGAAGATATTAAAGTCCAAACTCAGAAGACTTTAAGGCAGTAAACACCTGGACAATTCCAGTCATTAGATACACAGCTGGAATAGTGGACTGGACTGAAGCCAAACTGGAAGCCCTGGATAGGAAGACCAGAAAAATAATGACAATGAATCATGACCTTCATCCACATAGCGATGTTGACAGACTCTACTTACCAAGGAGCATAGGTAGGCATGGAATGTTGCAAGTACACCAGATAGTTGAAGAAGTAACAAGGGCATTGGAAGAATATCTGAAGGACAGTGAAGAAGATGCACTGAAGCTGGTATACCATGAAGGCTTACTGAATACTGAAGAGACCAATCTGGCCTACAAGAAAGACCAAAATCACCATCAGTCAATTGTAAAAGGCTTTACGTGGAACAGCTTATAGCCTTTAACACCATCAAACAACAACATCTGTCTATCCCAGATCCTTGAGAAGGACTCAATAGGTGCATAAAAATGCTAAATCCAGTCTAAATATCTGGCTGACTGAACTAGTATATAATGTTGGCAGAATTTTAAACTGTCATTTACTAATGCACAGACTTATAGAAGAGATAAAATTAAGGAACAAAAGAGAGACAACTTTAAGAATCTTGTAGTAATTCTGTACCAACTCAAACAAAGAGTGTCATAGTCAAAATAAAAATGTGATTAAGGTTAACATGGGGTAGATTTGAAGCAGCTTTCAGTTGACTAAATCCCAAATTCCTCTGGCTATCTGCTGTGATTCCATATTAGAGATAAATTTAGACAACTGTGGAATTGATAAAAATATATTACATATTATATCTCGCAATCTGTAGTTTGGGGAAAGGTTCAGAAAGAAAGGGAGAATGCAAACGTGCCTCTAATTCACTTTTGTCCTTTTGGTCTGGTATTCATCTGGAATTAAAGATTCCCAAGCCTTCAGTGTCTATGCTGAGAAGATTGCTCTGAACTGGTCATTGTGGATTATTTATCTCTCAAAGCATAATCAGTTTTTCTGTAAAAAGAAAAAATCTTTCATCTGGTTGAAATTGACTAAGTAGTTTGAAGATAGAAACAGTACTAGTAATTTTGAAGGAGTTGTTTCCTACTTAAATAACCTCTTGAATAAATGTTCTTATTGTTGTTTTGAACACTGTTGAAACTAATAGGTCGATGCAAACCAGGTTGCCTGACAATATTTTTTTTTCCAGAAGAATGGAATTGCTATGTTTTTTCTAGTTAGTTCATCTCTATTCAATTGCCGTGATTATATTTGTGGTAGACAGATATGTCCAATGTTTTATGGAACACCTTTCCTTGTAAGAAACATAGAACTCTTAATCAAATGTGTGTTTGTGTGTGTATATATATGTATATATACTCATTTTTAAAAGGCAAATAAAAAAATGTTGCTCTCCTGCCCCACCCTCCTGATATTTTAGGAACCTTACTGAACTTGATCAATTTGAATTCTTTTCTATTTATTTGTTTTAATACCATTTCTTTAAGTGATCATTGAATACATCACTTTTTCTTCATGGTAGATTATTTTTCATAACATCAGATTTTAGGAAAAAGGTCAGAGAGATTAAGGTTCCCTTTTTCCCCAATAGAAAAAGCAGTATGATGTCTTGGAAAAATATCTGCTTGTGAAATGAATTCACATTCTAGTATTATGCAATATGTTGTCTTTCTGAATTATATTTGAACTATGGCTGTATTATCAACTTTTATAACGTTAAAGTTTATGATAAAAGATATCTTAACTACTCTTTATAGTTTAACAGGGTGGGAATGAACTTCTATATGAATTTTTAAGAAGATATTTTAAAAGCTGTTTCTATTTTCTTATTGTAAAATCTCTGCACCTCTACGCAGCAAGTGTGTATTTGACTTTGACTTAATGCTGTGAAGCTTCACCCCTTGTCAATGAAGGCTGACGTCAGTGAACTAATTGGCTGTTCTTGTGCGTAGGTATCCTGACATGCCCACTGCTGCTGATGTTGTGAATGCTTTAGATCAACAGGCACTTGCGTCCATCCTGAAAACATATGGGGAGGAGAAGCATGCCAAGAAAATAGCTTCAACAATTGTTCAGGCACGCAGCATCTATCCCATCATCAGAACTCGGCAGCTTGCCAGCATTATTGCAGGTATCCTCATTAATTCTGTGCAGTGTCCGAAAGGGAAAAAATATTAATCCACAAGTCCCAGAGGGATCTATTTGTACTTGAAATCATGCAGGATCTAATCCTGTCTATCCTGCTCTGATGTCAGCTATTTTTTTTTCCATATGCTCTGTCCTTTTATATTGTTGAATGCTGATTAGTTTAATAATAGATTTTACATGATGACATTTATAATTTTGCCTACCAAGGTGAAACCTGAGATGACAAGAACAGAAGGAATGTTAAGCAAGAAGCCTTTACCTATCCGAATGAACACATTTATTTGCCTTTATTTTCACAATCTCATTTTGTTATAAGGCAAGTTGGCTATTTATAAATTGTGCATTTTTTTCAACTGTAAAGACAAACTGATAAATAGGATATTTCAATCACTGACACTAATAAAATAAACTTAACAGGACTTAATAAGACGTATGGCTACATGTCTTGGAGAAATGCTTAGGACTTTCTGCTCCCCATAAATCTGTCCAGTATTGAATGGATTTGGTGAACAGATACAGAGTCCTTTGAGTTCTGACACCTTCCTTTTTGAATTCCCTTTCCAGGGAGATTCGTTGAACATGGTTTTCTTTTTCTTTTTCTTTTTCTTTTTCTTTTCAGAAGCCAGTTGAAAAAAAAAGTGGCTTGGGGGGGGGGGATACACACAGACACACACACTTTTTTTTCCTCCTCTAAGACTTTTAAGTTTTATTGTTGTGACTATAATCTATTGTTGTTGTTACACTGTTTTAAAAAACTACTCTGGGAACTTCAGATAAGTTCCAATCCATATTTATGGACCTATGAGTACACAGTGAGGACACTGTGGAATATAACTTGAAATAAAAAAGGCAGATTTCACTGCACACCAGGTTTTTAATCATTAAATGATTGATTGATCATTCTTTCAGAATTTACTACAGTAAACCATCATCTGTGGTCTTAGAAGACATAAGAATATCAAGCTGCCTTTTTGGAGACTGAGCATTGATTCATAGAGATTAGGGGGGTTGAATCTGACTCTTAACATCTTTCCAGACTTCCAGGGGCTCAGGTAGTAGTAATTGCTGTTTCATTAACTAGAGATTCAAAGACTTCAAAGTGTCTATACATAATTCAAGCAATGGCCAGACACCTACAGGAGAATATATATAATTCTGAATTCAGACATAACATTTCTCCTTCAGTACCATGTTAATGTCAGCAAGAAGGCAGGAGACACCACCTTTCCAAGAATTAGGCAGTGACAGTTATAATCAAATGGGTAAAATATTAACCTGCATAATGTTGCAGAACACTTGAAGAATCTGAGAGTGTTTAGAAGGCTCATATAGAAATAATTATACACCAGAAACCCCCTTTTCCTCCTCATTCAGTGATTCCACTTTCTCTACTATGTTCACAAAGAATAGTGTTCCTGTCAAAATGGATCCTTTTAATATTGTTGGCCAAGGATTATGTAGTTAACGAAAATGTTTTGCTAGCTTCAGGATACAGAACATATATAGGTACTCAGACATTCAAAACTACTGGAGAATGGACATTGCCATCTACTGGCAAATAAATATCCCAGGATAAGAGGTGATATTTGTCCCTTAAACTATTTAAAGCTTTTTGTCTTAGTTCTCTGTTTCTATATGAAACAAATATTCCTAATATCCTTTATCTCACCTTTTATCTTTGTGGACTACTGAAAATGCTTGTATGCAGTCATTTTTCATATTTCTTATTTTTCAATTAATACTATAGTTAGGTGGCTTACAACACTGGATAAACAGTAACAATGACTAGACTTTAACCTACATGTGAGAAGTATGAGTACACATTATCAGCTATAGAAAAATGAGCTACTAAAAAAAATAATCTTGTTCCCCAGTTTCTGTCTTTCCTGACTGTAACATGTTAGGAAATCCTGACTCCAAAAAAACTCCATCAGAACACTTTAAAATAAGGCAGTCTTTAAAAAAACCCTAGACCAAAATAATGTGTTTTATAAGGAAAAAAGTAGTCGCTGTAATTGTACTCAAATATGTATAGAAAATCAGTGCTTTTTAAACAGTCAATATGCAAGTCAGCAGCTGAGCCTAAGCAAGTGATGTCTGGACCAAGAGAAATTTCTGAAAAAATCTTCAAGGAGAGCTCTGTTTACAATGTCAAATCCCCTTCCATATAATGTAGATTAATTAATAATTGGTCTAACTGATCATTTGTTATACCCTATATTTCTTTCACCCTACTTTGGACAGTAAAGTTATGGATATGCTTTAACATAATTTCTGAACTGCAAACTTGCATTCTTATCAAGAACAATTTGAATCCTTTTTCCACGAAGGGTAGAACATTTACATTGCCAGAATCACAGTAAGGCAGATTTTCCAGTGATGCTTATGGTGGTAGTGGTGATGGTATGTGTATGTGTGTGTAATTAGTACTTTTTTTTCTGTGGAAGAAAACATCATTTACATGACCTTTTTGTCTGTGTATGCGTGCACACACAAAAAAATCCATGCCTTCAAGTTTGTCTTGGCTTCTGGCAACTGCCTGAACAAGTCCAAGCAGGTTTTTTGGCAACATTTTTTAGAAGTGGTTTGCCCTTGCTTTCTTCTTAGGGCTGAGAGAGAGCGACTGTCCCAAAACCACCCAGATGCCTTTGTGCCTAAGGTGGAACTAAAACTTTCCCGGTTTCTAGCCCTTGGTCATTAACCACTGCACCAAACTGGGTCTCACATGACTCATATATCAGTAAATGCATTTGTCATATGATATAAAACATTTGACTGTCTATGCTAAACTCTTTAATATTGTAGGACTAGAATGGCACAATGCATTTATTCACAGAAAGAATCATAGAGTTAAAAGGGCCATTTTTGGGACTGAACCCAACCCTTTGTTCAGTCATGAAATCTAAAGTAATAGAGTATCAAGGAACCATTGTAAAGATGCAACAAATTTCAACTTCTCAACAGACCTGTTTCATTCTTTCTGATCAAAAAACAAGATTTAGTTTTCTTTGTTTTTATTTGGTTTAGTAATTTACTGACTTACGAGAATTTAACTTGTCAAGAAATTGAAGCATAAAAGCTAGTATACATCTTTAAACAATCATACTAGATAAATAAATTTTATTCAGATTAGTCCAAATTCACAGTATTTTAATTAACAATTTGAAATGTTCTAGAGTTTGAGGTGGATATTAACATTTTTTACCAGTTCTAGATGAAAGGACATAAGCTGTGTCATTGAAACTTATTAAATGTGATTCAGATTCAGCAGGAAATTCCTCTAAGAATTAATTTTTAAAGTCTGCCATACACACTCTCTCACAAAGAAGTCTTGAATGCCGCTCGTTGGCAGGCACAGCATTTGTGAATTTAATTCAGAAGCTTACAATCTAGTGCATTTTAACATGCACATCTATTAGATTTTTAATCATTGTACAACATCAGAATATCCTCAAACTAAACAACAGATATTTTTTCTCCTTGGGATTTTAAATCATTTATTTGCCAGAAGCATGGTATTTTTATGAATTAAATCTATTCTGCATGCTTCCCATACAAATTTTGTTCTATTATTATCTGTAGTAAAGCTTGTTACCAAGCAGATTTTTCTTCCACTGCCAGCATTCTTTTTTTTTTTTTTTGATGCAAAGGTGTGAGCAAGATTAGATTTTTTTTTTTTTTCCTGAGCCACTAGTAGTGAAGAATGAAATCCTTCTGTCTATCCATTTTCATTTTCTTGACTGGACTCATTCTGTTAATACTGAGATTAGGAGGGAAAATATAACTAAATTATTTCTTTTGCTTTTTCCCTGGCTT